AAGTAGCCGTGATCACGCTCTTCAAAGTGCCTTAAAGATAAGTACCTCCTTGGAACTGCCATAAGGTGTCAGGTACTAAAGTACCGATGCCTGATGTCATAATAAAGGTCATAAGAAACCTTGGTGCCTTGTATCGTTCATTGATAATGACTGCAGAGCCTCAATGCTTGCAAGATTGTGTTGTGTATTCCAGTGGCTCTCAAACTTTTTTACTGGTGACCCCTTTCACATAGCAAGCAGTAGCATAGCTGCGGGGGCGGGGGAGTAGGGCAGCAGCCGCTCTCCCACTGAGCACAAGTGGCGCCTTTTCAATTTCTTGGTGCCTTTTTAATTTTTACTAACCTGGCGGTACTCCGGGTCTTCAGCGGCACTTCGGGGGCAGGCCCTTCACTCACTCCGGGCCCGCCGCTCTTCACTCGCCAAAATGCCGCCGAAGACCCGCGGAGCAAGTGAAGGTCCCGCCGCAGAGTGAGTGAATTTCCGCCGAGGTGCTGCCGAAGACCCGGAGCGCCGCCCCGTCAGTAAAAGCACCGCAGCGGGTGGTGCCTTTTTTTGTGATCGCTCCCCCTGTTCCCTCCACCTGGCTACGCCACTGATTAGCAAGCCTCTGAGTGTGACCCCCTTATAAATTAAAAACACTTGTTTATATATTTAACACCATTATAAATGCTGGAGGCAAAGCGGGATTTGGGGTAGAGGCTGACAGCTCATGACCCCCCCCCCATGTAATAACCTTGTGACCGCCTGAGGGGTCCCAACCCCCAGTTTGAGACCCCCTGGTGTATTCAGTACATCCCCAGAATGGTGGTTGTATCTACACTGGATTGGTGAATTGTTGGTTCTACACTAGGATGGTTCTAGGTGAATTCATAAATTGTTGATTGGTTAAGAATAACCAGTGTCCTGATTGGAGAGAGACTGTTCAAGTTTAACGTTGACCTGAAGAGAACCTAGTGTTAAATTGCTGAACTAGCATTCTCTGCCTTCAATAGGAAGGGATTATCCATTAGATTCCATTCTAATATTGGCCACACCCCCTCCACAACGGATCTAGTTTGCTTTCAATCTAATTGGCACATGGTCAGTTTATTAATTTGCCATTCTTTCACG